CACAGCTCTCACGGTCCAGGGCTCAGCTCTCGCTCCTGTTGTCTGCCTCCTGCCCTATTCCTGTCCTCTTCTCAGCCCCTCAGCACACAGCCCTTTGGCCTGCCAGTGCTGGATCATTGGCTATTAGGGAACCACGTACACAGTTGGTTTTCTCTCTCCTTTGTTCTGGGAAGGGAAATAACAAGGATGGCTTCTATCACAGAGCACCTCTTCCAACACTGCCTCTTCCAGGAAGCCTTCTCTGATGCTCTCATCTGACTCTTCTCTGATGCTCTGATGCTCTCCCTGACTTCTCATCAGGGAAGTCCAGTCCCCTCCTCTGGACTTCCCTGGGCTTCCACCATCACGATGTTCAGAGCCCTTGATCTTTCCTTTCCTTCTCCTCCACTAAGGTCCCTGGAAACAGAGCTGAGCTCAGTTCTCTTTGTATCTGCAGCAGTACCCAGGCACCTAGCACAGTGCTTGAAAGACCACAGGGATTCCTGGGCAGGAGCACAAAAGGGTCTCCTCCCCACAGGCATGGAGTCTGCTCATGAGTTCAAGGACCTCTGTGCATTGGGTATCTGCAAAGGCTCAGCTGTCCGTGCAGCCGAGCTGTTGCTACGGGACGCAATTCTTCTACTCCGACCACATTCTTTCTTCACCCAGTCCTGTGCGGTCACAGTGAACTTTCCCAACCCTGACTACCAATGACCACAAATGAGCGGTGGGTCCTGGAAGCAGTTTTATGGCCACAGCTTGGGACAGGGTGGGAGAGGTCAGCCAGCGGCCCCTGGGCCCTGAGGGTTATAGGCTCAGAGGGTGGCATGCAGGAGGCCAGGCTAGGCTGGGTCTGAGCCCCTGCAGTTCTCCAAATCTGCCCAGCACTTCATTCTTCCTTGCTGAGTTGAGTCTGGTCATGTGGGTTTGGTTTCAAGTTTCCTGTCATTGGTCTCTTTTTATAAACTATGTCTCACCTGCTCCTGGGAAGTGAGAAGGTACCTGTGCCTGGTTAAGAAGCTTCTCACCTGAGTGTGTTAGTAGACGTTGCCATCCCAGTACTCTGGGAGGCTGAGGCAGGAAGAGCACAAATTGGAGCCTAGCCTGGGCAACTTAAAAGATTTACTGAGGCTCCGTCTCAAGATTTAAGAGAGAGAGAGAAGAAAAGGCTGGTTCTTTTCCTTCTTCCCCTTACTGACCTTGAGGTCAAAGTGAGCAATTTTCTTTGTGTGCAGGTAGTTCACTCCGTCCAGGATCTGCTTGATGAAGCTGGTGGCCTCTTCCTCACTCAGCGATTCTTTCTGGGCCAGGAAATCAAAGAGCTCTCCTCCAGACACACTGCAAGATACCACGGGGGCCCAGCGGTCAAGCCCTGCCAGTGCGAGGTCAGGTCAGGCCAAGCGGTGCGGTCCCGTCCCCCTCCAGGCTCCTGGGCAGGAAAGAATTCCCCTTGACAGTCTGGGCCCTGGACCAGAGACTCACTTTACTTCCACTTGCTATCACTTTTCTCTTCAGAGCCAGCCAAATAGCTCAGCGGATTAAAGCATCTGCAAGCAGGCGCAGGTGCCGGGGGTTCGATCCTCTGGCCTGCAGTGCCAGCCCCACCCCTGGGGCACGCTGAGATGGCAATTGAGACTGGGCGTGGTGACACACACCTGTAATCCCAGTTCTTGGGAGGCCATAAACAGGCAGATCACTAAGAGTCCAATCTAGTAGTGAGACCCTGAACACCCTGTAGGTCCTTCCCTAAAATACAAAAAAAAGCACTTTTCTCTTCATTGCCAAGGGCAGGGTGTTGTCAGGGGGCCTCTGCTAGCTCTCTAGGTGGCAAAGATTCCTAACCCTCCATGTGATGGCATTAGGAGTGGGGCCTTCGGGAACTGACTGGTGCGAGGCCCTCAAATGGCATTAACACCTATACTTAGGTGACTATGGAGAGAGCTCATTCACTCCACCACCTTGTGAGGCTCCTGTGAGAAGAGGGTCACCTATAAGGAACAAACCCTCACCAGACACCAAATCTGTTGGCACCTAAATCTTGGATTTCCCAGTTTCTAAGCAGTATGTGAAACAAATTTCTGCTTTTAT